TATATAGATATATATATAAAGGGTTATATTATTTTGGATGCCAACAAGATTAAATGCATATGTGCACAATTTATGGTATTTATGTTTGAAGGTAAACTTACAGTGGTTAATATTCAGCACAAAGAGACAAGTAGCTTTAGTTTAATTATTTATTATAAATTTGGAATTGTGGGATTATTAAGTACTGAGCAAAATATTAAAACTTCATTAGGGTTAGGGAATAAAAGGACAACCGCCATTTCTACACATGTATTTATTGAATAGTTGTAAGAAAGCTCAGAGTTAATTCTTATTTTATATTGCTTCATAACAAAAAATTCTAGTGGTCTGACACATTTCCATGCTATGTAACAAAATAGAGGGTTAAGCTATTGCATTCATACCTCTCAACCAATTAAAAACAGAAAGAAACATTAAACCTCTACCAGTGCTTCCAAGCACCACCTCAAATATGTGCATGTTCACATACCACTTTCAACACTTTGGCTGAGCTTTAGTGGCTTCACTTTACACACCTAGTCTGGGACAGTCCCATAGATTTCATGATGGTTGGGACTTATGATGTGTTTCATGACTTAAAGGGGTCTATTGATAAACAATTTGCACAGCCATTCACCCTGTGAGGCTCTGTGAATATTGATTCTGTGCGAATAGGGGCAAAAACTTCTTAGTATATTTTCTTTTCAGGTTGATTGTAATGTAATACTACATTACGGGCTCTAGATGGAGCTGAGGAGCATAGGAAATAAGTATTAGTTTCCTGTGCCCCTCAGCTCCATCTAGTAGCCATATTGCAGTATTACATCACATTACATTCAACCTAACAAAAAAATATACTAAGAAGGTTAATTTTTGCTCCGATTCGCACAGTATGAATGTTCACATAGATTGGCAGGGTGAATGGCTATGCAAACTGTTTATAAATAGACCCCAAGGTGTCTAAAAGAGGATCTTTCTGTGTTATCTATTCAGATTCTTAAATTTAAAGACTGATTTAGAGGCATGAAAGAGAGACACTGATTGTTAAGGTGCAATTTAGTTCATCCATCAGGCACTTCAGTGCCAAATCAACAGTAATGTGTAGTTAGGATAATAATATATCTAAAGGTACCCTGCATGCAACCAATGATAGGACTGTCAGATGAACTGCCCTAAATACACACCTTAATGTTTACTTTATAATGGTTTCTTGATTAAAAGAGTCTGTAACAAATCTGTTTAGAATACCTTTAACATCAGACACTCTTTTTCAATTTGCATTTTGCCCTTGAAACATGAAAGGGAGGCAACTCACTGGTTGATATTTGTAAATGTATGGCCACTGTTTTCACCAAACTCTTATTCACAAGGCCCAAAGGGTGTTTTACCATACACTACAAACAGTGAGTACATAAATCACTTTCCAGCTTACTAGAGAAACATGAACTGTAAAATATAAATGCATCACATTCTGGTCTTCATTTTTAATTCTCTTAAATTGTAAGCAATTTTATCTTTGATGCCAATGTATTTTATAGATCAGATTTTCTGACAAAATGCAATAAAATGTGTCAGCAGAAGGGATTTTACCCCCGATGCAAATGACTTCTTTAGAAGAATCACAATCATGCACATCAGCAGACACAGATTAGTCATTAGTCTGTAGTGTAAAATGTGACCTATCTATCTGCGGCTCATTGAGTCTTGGAGATAAGTTACCTTGAAAAGAGCAGCATCTTCATCTCTGTTGTAGTCCTGTTTGCCGGCATGTTTCCAAGGTATACGAAAAATGCTTCTGTCATCATTCTCCCACACCAATCCCGGATACTTCCCGCTGTCAATCTGGTCAATCAACCATTGCCTCAGTTTTCCATTTCCACAGCTGATCGGGGTCATTCCACAAACTCCGTCTTGGTTCATACCAGTCTATACACTTTGTTTTTGACGACTGTTAGGAGAGAAGCATTGACATTTCTTTAATAACTATAACCAGTAGACTTTAGTACTTTACAAGTGCTGTGATATGCCACCTTATACTTGAAAATTTTATGTTTTCTGTAGCATTTAGGTACTATGTAAAAGGCAACAGAACATTTGATCAGAGTATAGCCCATCACAGACCTTACAAACTCCATTAGATCCACCACTATGTAGTGCAAAGGCCTGCCTGATTGGATACAAATTGATTAGGTAGGTCCTCATATTACATAGTTTTCCTAAATCTAAATTTTATTGAACAAAGAATGTACGCACAGCTTATAACATGTATGGCGACCCTATAGGGATTTCCAGGTACCAGTTCTCATGACATTGGATCAGTAAATTTGGCTGCTGTCGTTATACCTAAAAGCTTCTTTATACAGACATCAGATGTTTCTTTTTCAATTGAATCTCTATTTATCCTCTGTTAACGTATATATTGTTCCTCCTCAACACCTGCTGTGCACAAAGGAAGTCCTAGGAGAGGTCTCTGCAGTTTAACAAGAATAGTTCCTGAACATTTAAAACAATTCTAATATCAGGAAACAGGTATAAATAGCCAGTAACACTTTATTGTATAATGTAATGTGGTTTGAGCCACAATAAAACATCAGATTTTAAGCTAAAATAAATACGTTTAAAATGATCCTTCTTTACTTAAAGATTGAACTCAATTTAAACTACTGTGCACAGATCAAAGTAAGATGACTGATTGATTGTGTTTCACTACATATTGTGGTTAATTACTAAAGGCAAATAGACTGTTCAATTTGGAAGATAATTTTCCTTTAGCTTAGTGAATATGGTGAAAATTCACTTCGCAAAGAATACCCAATCACATGCAAGAAAAATATTTAAAAAAATACTATTTCTGTCACATGATTGCATGATGGAAGTCAGTAGAGCTTGACCTCATTCACTATGCAAAGGGAAAATTCCCTTGCAAAGCGAACAGCCTATTTGCCTTAAAGGAGAAAAATTGGGGTAGTAAAATGTTCTCTGCATAATACTTTGAGCCGCAGTGTCACACGACAGCTCTATAGTTGAGAGCTGAGCGATCACGAACCGCTGATTGCCCAGCTTATGGTCTTCTCCCTGCAGAGAGGGGTGACTGTCATTCATCACTTCCCGCAGGGATTCCACCTCTCTATTCCTTGTCTTACCCTCCAATGAGCCCTGGAGGAATAGAGAGGTGGAATCCCTGCGGGAAGTGATGAATGACAGTCACCACTCTGGGGGGACACAGCTGGCTCTAGCTCTAGAGAGGCAGAGCCAGCAGTCAATCAGTCAGTATGGTGGATCCTGACAATTTTGTCAGGATCTTTCCCAGCTGCAGTGCAGTTCTGCAGTGTTAGCATATAGCTGGACATATGCCGAGTTGGTAAATGTACTCCTTTGACCCAAAAGAGGACTAAAGCCAAAAAAAATGCTTTGGCTTTAGTTCTCATTTACGTAAATCAAAAATATAGTCTCTTTTGAATCTTCATGATTGGCTTCACATGACTACCTAATCTAGTAGGTAGGTTGTGTAGGTACTTACTGTAGCTACACAACGTAACACAAAAAATTGCAATTGCTATTCCGTTAAAGAAATTCATCATGAGCTCTTAAGTCCCATTAAAATAAACAGTATGTGTATTAGATGGCATACATTTGCATTCACAGAATGACTACCTATATATATTGAAGAAAATCATCATGCATGTTGTACGATTTTGCATATTTTTGCTTTAGCAGTGTACATACAATAAGAATTGGATGGGTACATATTACATTATAATGTTTTAACAGACCATTTTTTGGTTGGCATTATGGTACAAAGCAGGTTCCCGCGTTAGCTCTTAATGCGTTTAACAGGTTTTGCTATGCAATAGTGAAACCCACCAGCCCCACCATCACTCCTGATGACAGATACGTATGGCAGTTTGCCTTTAGCGAATACGCTTACTCATATTTGGTGTACTTGTCTGGCTACATCAGTATTGGAAAATCATTTGCAGAGTTATTGCTAAATAACAGTCTATCTCATTCATTTTACAGTCTATTCTTTTACATATTTCCCATGCACAGTAGAAGCTTCTCCCTCTGCTTGCAAAGGGTAAAGTGTGTAGTGACGTAGACTGCATGTGCTCTTTTCTTCAATCACTGTATAATGATTAGTCCAGGGCTGGACAAATCCTAGGAATCAGGTAGCCAATGCTCCTTAATAATTACAAATGGCGCCTATTTATTATTATTTTTTAGGTTTTCTATAGTTGCTGTCAATAGAGCTGGCTCTTGCTGGCTGCTGGATTGGACAGAATTACCAAATACATTTGTCCACCCCTGGATTAGTGTCTTTAATGTTTAGTAAAAAAGAATCTATCAAATTAGGGTTGGAGAAAGATCAGAATGGAACTGAGCCTTGATGCTTGGAGGTGGAGCTGACAATTCTGCAGCTGCTTCTCTTAGTGCTGATTTACATGACTGTAAATAAACATAAGCATGCATCTAATTTTGTGGTAGCAAAACAAGTGTACTTAAATCATGTGGTCTGATGAAGCTAGAATGTAGTAAAACGTTAAAGGTTTTTTCTTCAATCTGTTGTTTCTGGAGCTCACTGAAGCAGAGGATATGTTGAGGACCTGGAGCAAGCTGTTAGCTAGAGTTTGAGCTCAACTGTTGGAGCTCCTCTAGAGTTGGATCTAGCAAACATGGGGAACTGACAACCCTGCATGAATTTATTGAACACACCCATCAGGCCCATCAACTACAGGCTGCCTGCATAAATCTACAGGATGGGGGTGGCTACAAGACCAGAAAATTGTGGAAATGTCACCAGCACACCAGTCCTTTCAGGATAGGAAAAGCGTCCATATGACAAGAAACTTCAATAAATGAAGCTTTTGCTATCCTAAAAGAACTGGGGTGCTGGTGACATTTCTACAATTTGCTGATATTTGCGGCGCCATCCGCAGTCACTGTGAACACCCCCTCACTACAAGGAACTTTCGGTAAGGCGTGCAACAAGGATAAGTATTTATTGGCTACAGGACCAGTCACCCTGCACAAGGGGAGAGAACAGAAATGACCGGTCTTTATTACAGGAAACTCTTGCACAAAATTTCACACTGGATTACTGCACAGATCTGGAAGAAATACACAAAGCACACCAAGAAGTAAGAATACACATTCCTCTTTTTTGCTTATCCCCGATTCTAGAGCTATGTGTTATATTGACATGCAAACACACACATTTACCAGTGGTAATGAGGACTGTTCTACAATTGTCAAGAGATTTAGAGCTTTCTACAGGATTGTATGTTGTTTAACTGTACAGCAGTGTTTCACACATCACTGAGGCTACAACAAAGTCAATGGTGCATATAGGCAGCCTTGTTTATTTATAAAAAAAATACGTTGAAGGTGCTATTATTTAAATTACTGTGATCTTTAGCTGCCATCAAATTTGTCAGGTAAACAACTTTATTCCATAGTTCAGAATCCTAAAGAAAATGCAGTATTACTGTTTAGGGCGGACTTTCCGTTTTTGAGATGCAGGATTCTGGAACTGAAGAAGTTGAAAAAATAGCAACTGTAACTATAGACTGATGGCTGGGTCCATATCTTGTGAATGATTACAGCCCCATAGAAGTACAAAATGTCTTAAAGAACCACCAGAATAAGTTGTGGCTCACATACATAGCTGGACTAAGTATGGAGCTAGCCTACTGTAGAATCATGGTACCATAGGAACCTTATACATAGAAAGGAATACGGTTCTCTAGAAAATAATTCCATCATTAAAGATATTTTCTTACATTAACAATCGTGAAGGCAAATGTATTCTGTACACATATTTTTCTTATTGGTCCTTTATCTACTGTGCCTTGTCAATATCAAGGCACAGTAGATATAGGTATACGTATAGATATAGCCATATTTCATGCAAAATTAAATTAACATCCATGCACAGAAACAAGTTCCTCTGGCTAATATTAAGTCACAATATCAGTTAAATTAAATGATTCTGGACATTTGGTTAAAACCCATCTTAAAGTTTTTTTTTATTCAGATATAGCAGTAGATTTCTCCAGCACTTGTCAAACACTTGGCAACCTACTGTCAATGAGAGATAGTGAGGTTTATTTTCTGACGTTCTGATGTTCAAAGCTACAAAACATTCAAATCCCATATTCTTCTTTGTTGCCTGTTCACACCTGAGTGCTCAAGCACCTGATGCAAAACAGCCATCACTCCAAAAAGTACAGGAGCCTTTTTCAGGAACAATCAAGCGTTTGTCCCCATAGACTCTAATGGCAGCACCTGAAAAAATCCTTGCTTCAGGTGAGCCATAATGGCTATAGGGCCAAAAACACTAAATTTAGCATATGTACATAAAAACATTTGTACACATGTGAAAGAAAAAAAAACGTGTAAATTGCCTGACTATGCTCAGGCTTAGGTGTGAATGCAGCCTAAAGGAAGAAAGGCTGTTCACTTTTCTAAGGGTATTCATAAACAACACACATAACTTACTTTAATTGTGCAAAGTAAACCTACATTTTGAAAATTGAACATTCACTTTGCTAGTTAAACAGCATCTGTTCTTTTAGTAAATCAACACCAGTGTGTCTATTAACTGGGTCAGAAGCTGACTGAAATAAACCCTGGTCCAGTCACAGGTCTTAGGAACTAGATTGGTAGGACCATGGGGAAGAAAAGTAGCCCCCTCCAGAAGGAAGGACAGCATCAGCACCAATTCAGAAATGAATTGAGGATCTACAGCCGAGTGATACACAAATAACATAAATTTTTGTTAATAGTTAAGATACTTGAATGGATTTCTAAGATTTAACTCCTGAGTTTAGTGTCACTTTAATTATAGTATTGAATGTGAAATTGAAACAACACATAAAGACTAGTCTCCAAATTATCTGAGAACTAAAATACTTAAAAAG